GCTATTGCCCGCCAACATGCCTGGCTTGAACCAAATCGTCTCGCCAGTTCCTCTGTCGCCAGCTCGACGAGAGATAAAGTTGACCTCTGGCGATCTCTATGCCAGCCTTAACGCCACCCTTGCTTCCAAGAGCGAGCGACGTCCCGGAAGCCCTCTGCAGGAGGAGTACGCTGTCCCGGCTCCTCCCCCACCAAGCCCAGTGAGCTTCAGACCGGAGCACTGGCCCAATACTCCCACCCTCCGATAATTCTACCAACACTCGGCCATATTCGCAGATCGAATATGATGTGAGCACCTTGGTCAAAGTGACCGCTACGCTACAATGAAATGAGGGCAGGGTCCAAATTGGAAGCGTTAGTGATGTATTATGTGACTTGTACACTTGGGCATTTAGATTGCACAGGAGTCATTTTCTTTCCTTTTACCTTTTTTTTCTTTTTTTCTAAAACATGTTGCAAGAGAGCCTGTTCGACTCTCCTCTTTTGGAGTTTGGGGTTAGGACAAGCACGCAGGACAGGGCAAGGAAACAACGGATGTTATTTAGTCGTTCATGTTAGGACAGCTTTAAGGCTGCGAAGTTCCTAATTCAAAAAAAAGGTATGCTCGGATGAGTCACTTCGGTGCACCCGAGCTTTAATCACAGATTTCTTCCACATATTCCGAGCCCGCACCTCTATACATTCCGCTAAACATGCAGCCTTGGAATCGCTTTCTTCTACCAGAGTACAAGAGAAATCCGAGGCAATATCTAAGGAAATATCAACATGATCAAGATCCAACATTGGAATGGGAGTGAAGGCTTAGGCTTGACTGCTGAAATCTACCCAGGCTAGAATATCTTGCTCCTAGTTGTTTTAGGAACCAACTACCAGTGAGCGTAGACTTGTGCCACCCAGTACATGTGCTCAGCTTAAGCCCCAAAAATTAGAACAAGCGAGACAACGACATCGACCCAACATTTTCACTGGAAAGAATGACGACATGTTTGGTGTTGCGCGACTGGCCGACTATCGAATAAGATTGAATCCTCTTGAAGAGCTATGCGTTGCTAGAGCCGAGGATGCGAAATCGCAAGGCATGTGATAAGAACCAGCCATCATTCTAGGAAATACCTACCTACTATCAGTGCACAACCGAGGAAGGGCTTTGTTCTGCTAGAGAATCAAGGGGACAGAAAAACCGTCATCTTGGTAGCCTATTACATCACATAGCAGAGACAAGCGAGAATGCTACGGCGTCATCTTTCATGAGACGTGGAAGGCATCGGGGAAAGAGCCGGGTGGCTCTGGGTAGCTTCGAAATAAATTGGAAGAGGGGCTACACTCCTAACTCGTACACTCAGATGCCGACTGCCTCAGTTTGTACATCCATGCGAACAGCTGAACTGCTCAAGGGCACAGTGTAAGTCATCATAAGCCTCGGAGGATCAAAGGATATAATTTGCCTCGGTAACGGCCATGCCAGCAGTTCAACTGCTCAAGCACATGACGCTGTCTGTCGTCATTGGCAAAAACAATAAGGTGGGTGTTGTGACGATACAACATCGAAGGATTTCTGTTTTTCACTCAGCTTCGGCTATCACGAACTCTCTTTCTTCTTTCTTGCGGGAGCGTGGGCTAACTTTATAGATCTCAGAGCTGCGGTCACGCCAGCTCTTGATCACGAGAAATGACCACAAGTAAGGTTGCCGTGACTCATAGACGTTTATTTTGTAAACTCTAGAGATCGAGGTTCTACTATTATATTTTATCTTTATTATATGTTCAGTGTGAAGCTTGTGGTGTTTTGTTAAAATGGCCAGCCTAAGTTGAGCTGGGAGCGTTTTGCTGATGTAATACGCCAGAAATAGAAAATGGAGACAACAGCTGTAATGGCCGATGGGAGCTCTCCCCCACGTGCTATCGTGGGAGGGTGTGGTGGTCATCAGGGGGGTGGCCAACCACAGCGATCTAGCAGTAGGCTATCAGGGAAGGGAGACAAAGAGCCTGCCTTTTCGTACCTACGATACGTGAGATGGCATCCATCCCATTGTTTCTGGTGTGCGACCATTTCAAATCTGGTGGTGTGGGCCTCGGCCTGCCTTCTTGGGCATGCCATTCCGTCGTGGGATTGATGGAGGAGGTATCAAGGGAGATCAAGCCGACGGGGTCTATTGGACACGCGTGGAAGTTGTCGCGAGTCACGCATGTGGGTCCAGCCACTTTACGCGCTCGTCAAACGCGATATCCACGATGATCCACCATCACGACGCGTTCAACTTCAAGGTCGCGTTTAATTGATATGGATGGAGCCTAGCCAACGCCTGTATTTTTCTGGGACATCCCGGCAAAAACACTTCGGTTGTTGTTTCCCTCCAAACGCACAAGCATCTGCATCATCCGCCAGCTCTTTCTTTCAAATTGCTTTGTTGTTACAGCACAACTGCCTCATTTATCATTGAACCGAATTCAAACACATACATCTTCCAACAGCTCCTTCCACCAAGATGCCTCGTCCAGCAAAAAGGAGACAGGTTGATGCTGCTCTCAGCCAGCCCATTACTCGGTTCACCCGTGTATCAAAGGCATCTATCCCCGAAGCCCCATTGAAGAAGACTGCACTCTCTGCACCATCGAAGAAACGCAAGGCAGCACCTGCCGAGATAGATGAAAACCCAAGATTGACTCGACGCACCATCTCCTTCCCCCCCAGCAGCGATGAGGACGAGGTGATCGTATCAAAGCGGGCCTGCCGTCGCGAACAGCAACCGGAACCTACCCCGGCAACCACTAAACGGAGACGGGCACCCGCGCCAGCATCTCGTCCCTCGAAGCCCGTGTCTACCCCTAAGAAGACAAGGCAGACGAAACTCGACAGCCATGTCAAGTCCATCCCCAAGGCTGAGGAGAAAAATGTTTTCCCGCAACAGCTGGCCGAACTTGTCGACCTGCACCGAGCATTTATCAACACATTTATGCTACATGTTGCTCACAGCAGAAGCAGCGCACCTGTGGACGTACGTGTGATTGCGCCAAATATCTCCATGGCCTGGGGCAAACGCCAGGTCACCGTCGAAGACATCCAACGCTGCATTGCCATACAATCGTCTGCCAGGCATGGCTACACCTCACCATTCGTAGTCTCTGACTACGGCCGGGGGAAAATCTGCGTGGAGATTGACTCGCAACAAAGTGGAACCGCAATCAACGAAGAACGCTTGTGCAGACAGTTCGAGGAAAGCCTGCGTCATATTTGCACTGAACGAACTATGGACGAGATGACCGATGTTGACATTAACTTCGAAAATCTCTCCCTTGCTGATCTCCCCAAGGCTGCCATCAAGAACAAGGATCTCGGTCTCGATGCCAACCCTATGCTGGCCAAGGGTCAGCGCACTCTGTCGTCTTTGAAGAGCGATTTGGCAAACAGGGAGCAGGAGAAGCAGGCCAAGCAGGTGGCTCTCTCCAGCAACCCCATGCTAAACCCAGACGGCTCGAAAATGAGCCTCCTGGACCGGATTCGCCTCAAGCAGCTTGTAAAGGACAACGGACCTGTGCCGCCCTCTGGTCCTGAGCTTGAACGCCGGGCTGCCTTGAACCGTGTCATGGATGTGTCGGCGACTCTCTCCATGATGAGTCTCTCCAACCCCGTCTCTTTGCCAAGACAAGCCTTCAGCATGGCTACTGTGATGGATAGACTCAAGGACTCGCTACGGATGCCCATCTCAAAGGAGGAAGCAACCACCTGCATCCGTCTCCTCGCCAACGAAGTCGCCCCTGAATGGATCCGCATTGTGGCTCTAGGAGGACGAGAAAATGTTGTGCTGCAGCGCAACATGCAGCCTGTCGACCGGGTTCTGAATGAACGTGTGCAGAAATTGCTTGGTTAAGAGATGTGTTTACTGGATTCTATATATTAATGTGTGCTTTGGTTGGCGTTTCGGATACCCTCATAGGATTGTTGATTTACAAGGCGTTTGGACATAAACATTGCATTGTTGGGTTATGCATAATATCATCTGGATTGTAAAGGGGAGCATTCATGTATTGGCATTATGAACTTAGCAGCATGTTATACCTCACGGCATCGTTGACGGAGTCTCGAGGATTCAATGAAAAGTAATTACTCAAAAAAAAAAAACCTTTACTAGAGCCCGGCTTAAACTGTCCAACACTTGGGCAATAACGGCGATTTCCTTCCAAGCGCTGCTGCACGTTATATCCCAGCGGTCTACCTAAATCACGATGAAGAGTTTCCACGTCACTATATGGATATAACCTACGGGATCGTTGCCATGGCCAAGCCCCAGTGGCGGGGTGCTCCGATAAGTTGCTGCTAGTTTGCTTGTATGTACTACAGGAGCCTCCAAGATATTGGATAGTCGCCCATTCCGAGATGTGCTGCATACTCTCGATGTTATAGAACCGAGAACTCTCTTAAAATTGAAGCTGTAAGGGGTTAAGAAACAGTTCCAACGGCTGTGGGAATGGATAAGTTGAGTGACCAACTACCTATCTAGGCCAGCCGTCTACACGATAGGGCAGGTACATGGGCATATAAGAAGCATTGGGTTTTTTTTTTTTTTTCTTTTACCAGCCTACCTCCTACCCTAAGGGTTTTCGATAATCGGGAGATAGCAATCCATGAGGTCACCACACAGTAACGTAATAACTTGTATAAATGACATGGGGCGGTAGGATACGGAGCCGAGCTCATGAGTTCATTTGAGCAAGATAAGATTCGTTATGTAATGTTAGAAAGAGAAGTGGGAAGATCTGATGGGTACTGTCGGTCCTGCATTTAGGCTAGTTTGATTTCCCTTTTCATTCACTCGATTTACTCCTCACGTAAATGAAAACGTAGCCCCTAGTTTTCTCTATCGCTGCGATGCGATTGCCTGCCTGTTATATTTCCAAAACGGCTCCACTCCTTTTTCTTGAAGCACAGTCTTTTGTTTATCCTATTTCGAATAAATTTGCTCCACATGTACATGATTCATGTAAAGAGAAAGCTATCACATTTCAGACCGTGTCAAGCGGTATCAAATATTGGATACCGGGCACTCTCTTCCGAAAGGCTTCCCGGCTCCTCGCCGGACCACGATCGTCTACTTTGTTCTTAGCTTCGATATCAGCAGTTTCGTAGAGATCAAGTTGTGACTCCACAGCTTCCACTTTTTCAGCCATTGCAGCGTAATACAATGGCATATTACCAAATAAATCACGGGCGGTGGATATTGCCGCCTGTCCCGCGCTGTCACGATCGTTCTCGTGAATGTGGCATACCAGTACGCGTGTTGTCGCTTTCCGGGGCGCTGCGTAATGCAGCAAGCCGGCGGGTGGCTTCTGCATAGCCCTTGTCTGCTGCTACGCCCCAAAGCTGGTCAAGTGAGGCCGAGTTGGACGATATGGGACCTCGGTCGAGGAGTTCCAGCAACAGTCGTTCGCTCTGGGATTCCGAATCCAGGAAAGCATCTATTGCCTGGGCCCCAACAACCGTAGCGTGAAAGGAGAGATTCTCATAACACTTCCGAACAAGGAGGTACGAGATTTCTGTAACAAGCGTAGAAATTATATATACCGCTGGTGATTCTGAAACCTTGAAGAAAAAGACGTCCGGTACTTGGAAAAGGAGCAGTATCACAAGAGATTGTGTTAAGAACTTGCCGCAGTACTTCAGATATCTGTCATTGAGAGGAGACATCCCAAGTCGTAATAGGGAGCGGTCGAGAGACTCGGCCCATTCGTGATGAGGCGCCGCCGGTTGAAGACTGCGACCTGGGTAGTGCTGCAGAAGGGAAATGGCGACATCGTCTTCCCCATTCCGAATTGCAACGCACAATGGGATGCGGCCGTCAATAGATTCCATGGCATTGGCTCCTTAGGCCAGACTTTGTTCCACGCCTGCCACATTTCCAGACAAGATGGCCTGCTCCAAAAGGAACTGTGCTTTGGGTTCATGTTGCTTCCGAGAGCTTCTCCTGCCAATTATCGCATCCCACGGGGATGTCGTGAGCAGATTGAAAAAGGACATGGCTTGCTGTTCCGTTGACATTTGCTGATGCTTCTTTTCCAGCGCTGAGCGGTAATCTTGCTCCAGTGTCAGGAACTGATCATGATTTTTGGCGCTCTTCCTCCTTCATTAGGCACCAGATACAACATTCGACTCGGCCTAGGCTCAGCCACTCTACATCTGTGACGTGTACTTGGTAGGTTGGGATCAATGGATATCCATGTCCATGTAAGCAGGCTTAGCTCAGCCTCATTCAGCCTCGCAATTGATTGGCATAGCGCCTTGGGCGAATTGAAGAAACCACTGGCTGGATATTTCCCTGACTGGACATTATTTACACTTGGCTTTTATGAAAATATGCCAACCGGCTGGAGTATGCTAGCTGTTGCTGCAGCTCAGCATTTTCACCACACCTGGACGTTTCCGTCTTACACCGGCAGTCGAGGATCATGAATGTCCGACATAGATCGTAACAATGCACCCGTCTATCACATACGACCATACCCAGAAGAGAACTCGGGATCCCGTCCGCTCTCCCATAGATAAGCTTCTGAGGGGTGGATTAGTAGTTGGGTCGGTGACGACCAGCGAATACCCGCTGTTGTATGTTTTTTTTTTGTCATTTGGTGGTAGAGTCTTATGAAGGGTATTGACCCTCACGATAGCTTCACCTGTCACATACGACCATTTCAGACTCACAGGCGTCTTCTTTTGCCTGCCATTATCTCCTTTAATGGAGGTAATGCACCAAGCACTCTACATTTAAATCTCTTATTGCTAGCTTCCTATTACATCTGGAGTGACCAAAATATATTCATAAGAGCATCAAAGAGAAGTTCCTACAATGAAGAGTTAGTAAGCTCCCAAGTAGATCCCCTTGAATTAATAGTATCTCGACTTACAGAATAAGTTGATAGCATAGTGTTAAACACCTCATAACTGATTCCCTCGCTTCCCTCTAGATCTTCAGTGAGTTTAGCCAAGCTTGACTCTCTCCCTGGCTCTAGTTCTCCAACCAATTTCAGAAAAGCGGCGAGCTTTGCTGTAGGAATTTGGAGTTCAAGAAGGTCATTGTTATACTTTGGGAGTAATGGCAGTGCTAGGTTATAGCTTTCCCGATGAGGGCTAGCTATCTTCATTGTAGCCCCAGGTGTTGTCTGAACAAGCACATCCAAAATGTCTACATCTTTCTCATCTTCTTTTTCCATAACAGCCATTGTCTGGTCGTCAGAATTGGTTCCACCCTGTTCAGTATCAAACCAAACGAACCGTGGTACAAGGATTGTTGTCTTGCCATTAATCGGATGGCTGAGAGGTGTAGCTAGACTCCGAAATATTCGTCTGCGAACATCGCTGGCGTCTTGACCACGGTTAGAAACGCCGAAACCATCATGTGGACCCCAAGTTCCAGTGCGAAGACCAGGTACCGCATCTGAGAAGTGAGAATCATCTCCGATCCGGGCCACGGTAGGTATTGTTAATAGAGAAATGGCGCGTATGAATGCATTCTCATCTATTTTGGGCGCCCCTAACTCATTAAATGATGCTGGAAACGGGAAGAAAGCATAGAAAATAAGTATGTTCAATAGTAGCTCTGGGTATTCAGATGGTTCTTTCACTCCTGATTCAGACAGCTTCTCCAGTATTGACTGCTGGAACTTCACTGATGAAATATCTGCTTTATATTAGGAGTTAATAATTATTAGTATTATAGGGCCATAACTTACATCCGCTTTCATGATTGCATATATATTGGAAAGTATATTTAAAATTTTCGATAGTAATCGACTCATCACACGCAGCTTCTAGTTTATTAGAGAGGTACTTTGTATACCTCTGTAATATTGCATCTATATAATGATTAGCAAATGAATAGAACCTCGCTACATCCTAATAAGTACCCTTGTTTATAAGGCCACTATTAATAAAGTCTTGAACTCTTTCTCTAGAGACCTGGTGTCTGTCGTCTGGTTCGAACTTATCGAATGTGTCGGAAACAAAAATGGCGTTTGTTAATAGATCCATAATTTTAAGAAAAATCTCGATAAATATACCGCTGACGACAGTTAAATGGTCAAGGATAAAATGAACAGGTGCCTATGTGGACAAATGAGGTAGATCGCGCTTGGGGCAAAACTTAAGCGTATTTAAATCGACTGCCTGTATGATATAAGAAGTTAAAACCTACACTGGATGAGTCATTGCATAATGGGAATGTATGGTCCGCTGGTGCCTACGAATTCTACTGTTGGTTCTAATTGTTAAAATGGCGCCAGATTACGTTGTTATGCGAATACCCGCTGTTGTATGTTTTCGTTCTTCTTTTTTTTGGTCTCTTGCTGAGCTTTTTGCCTGTATGTATATTGCCACAGGCTGAGTCCACTACGATGTGCTGTTTCGCATATTCGAGAATACCTATTGGGGCTGATAGTTGTTGATTTTGTGAGTGCTGAAAGCGGGCGTATTTAAGGGCATCGATATCAGACCTTTTGCAATGGTGTTTTTGCCTGCTGTAGATGCACAGTGAAGTTCCCCCTAACGTAGAGAGAACGATGCGATCCTAATTCTGAGCAAGTGTAGATTATTGCTTGGGGTGGTCGGTTGGGCTTATGACTCGAGGGTAGGATGCCTCTAAAATGCTCTGCTACTGTGATATATGAGCCCTTCGTGGTCCACAGCACGAAGCTAGGTTAATGCCTAGATAACGCCTCTGTCTACTCCCCTAATTGAGAAGTAAAGTCAAGATTTTAATAAAGCTTAGATTAGGCTCGATTATATGGAATTTCCTCTTATCCCAGCTTTGCAAGTTATATTCTATCTTAAAGAGACTATGGTTGTTGCCGATGGCTTTGGGGGCGTACGCCAGGGGTTCGAGCATCTCTTTGCAGCCCCCTTTGCAATTCTCGACAGCGACCTGTCTTTCGGTGGCATAACTACCCGTTGCCTTCTCAATTTCCAGTATTATTTTAACGATTTTGGGTCGAGATAGATAGAATAGAGCACTGTGTAGTATGGACGGTCTATGTGAAGATGACATACTCAAATCGAAACCATCGCATGGATGAAGCGCGGAGGAGATCATATGAATCACGTAATTCAGCCCAGAGCTCCAGTAAGCTGAATTGTTTCTCTTACGATCTGCGCCCAGGGTGATCATTTGAGAAATGGCCGCCAATAGGAGTACCTTCTCTTCAAGTTCGCGGCAGGGTTTTATGAGGATGCTCAACCTGCACCAAATGTTTCCCTTGAAACAGACGTCTCCTGTATTATTCAGATATCCCCAAGATGGGAAATGCCGACGATGATACCAAAGTCCTTGCCGAGAGATTATTAGTGGTGTGAAGCTGAGGCGTAGGCGGAGCACCATCGTCTGTGCCTCACAATGGGGTTACATTGGGTGTCGCATTCCGATCACATCATCCTCAATCTGGTTTATCTTAATTAATTTGATACAGCTAAATGAGCAGTATGGATATGTGTATGCTTGCATTCGGCCGATGTTCTAATAATACAATCACATCTATCCTGGTTTCCCTACGATAAAGGGCGGAGTCTTTATTAGGACCATCGCAATTGCTACGCCAGCCCCTGATAGCTCTACCAAAAGTCCTCCTAGAGCTGTGAACTACCAGGTTCAAGCGTAGGGGATATCCTAAACCTCTCCCGAAATAAACAATATACGCGCAAAAACGATTGCGCACTTGCTATGTGATGTACACCAAAAATAGCTGACTTCCTCATTGCCCAGCTCTTCGACCAAGGCCTATACTGCCTTGGATAAGTATATATACCATGTGTTAGATCTCTCCATCTGGATCTATTGCCTTGGCAAGAAGCACTTACTGCACACAAAACCATTACTACTTTCAGAATTCGTCGACATTCTTTATAGGACTCTGAGCCACCCTCGCATATACCCCTTTTCCTTTTCCTTCTCCATTTTCATTTTCTTTCTTCTTTTTATTCCTAGCCTTTCTTTTGTGTTGAATTCATCATGGTTTCGGCCGGACAGCTCTGCTTTTCCGCTCTTCCGCTTTTACTTGCCGCCTCCAGGACGGTTGTCGGTTCTGAGCTTTCCGACAATCTCGTGTCCCGATCCGAGCTTGACGCCCGGGACGACCAGGGCCATCTCGACACCCGTGACGATGACGTCGACCTCGGGCTGCGCATGAACGACGAGGATGATTTGTTCCTCCAGTTGCGCGAGCTAGCGACGCCCGATCTGCTCGAAACGCGGGCGTCGAAGGCAAAGGCCGCGGCGAAGAAACCCGCTGCTTCCTCGAAGAAGCCGGCGGCAACACCAAAGAAGGCCGCTGGCGGAAAGAATAGCGCTGCTAGTAAGCCTGCTGCGGGTAAGAAGTCGCCTGCTTCCAGTAGTAAATCAGCCGCTGGCAAGAAGACTGGCACCAGTAAGAAGTCAACGTCTGCTGGCAAGAAGTCTCCTGCTTCCAGTAAGAAAGCAGCCGATGGGAAGAAGTCAACGTCTGCCGGCAAGAAGACTGGCACCAGTAAGAAGGCAACGTCTGCCAGTAAGAAGGCTGGCGCTAGCAAGAAGACTGGTACCAGTAAGAAGACTGGCACTAGTAAGAAGGCCGGTGCCAGCAAGAAGACTGGTGCCAGCAAGAAGACTGGTACCAGTAAGAAGACTACTGGCGGAAAGAAGTCAACTACTGGCGGAAAGAAGTCAACTACTGGCGGAAAGAAGTCAACTACTGGCGGAAAGAAGACCGGCATCAGTAAGAAGTTAACTGGTGCTGCCAAGAAGGCTACTGGTGCTCTCAAAAAGGCTACCGGCGGAAAGAAGTCAACTACTGGTGGAAAGAAGAACGGCATCAGTAAGAAGTTGACTGGCGCTGCTAAGAAGGCTACTGGTGCACTCAAAAAGGCCACTGGCGGGAAGAAGTCAACTACTGGCGGAAAGAAGTCAACGGGTGCTGGCAAGCAGACTGGTACTAGCAAGAAGGCCACTGGCGGACAGAAATCAACCAGTGGTGGAAAGAAGACTGCCGCAAGTAAGCCTGCTGCTGGCAAGAAGCCTGCTGCTGTTAGTAAGAAGACTGGTACCAGTAAGAAGTCTGCTGGCAGAAAGTAAACTTCTGTTAGCAAGAACACCGACGCTTATTGGTAACTCACACCCTGGAGTTGGTAGCATTTACCTAGGTGGCTATGAGGTCGAAACTGTACAATAGGAATTGAATAAGTCTTTTGATAGCTCGGAGCAGCAGGGAGATTATACTTTGAGTTGCAAAACAATGATACATTTTTTAATAACATTCGTCGTTCGCGTACGCCCCGTTTAGGATCTTCATTCTCGGATGGATCGAGACTAGGAAGTAATAAAGGAGTAGTAAGAGATTAAGGCACGCGTATTACGCTGGGAGTTCTTCGGATTCACATGTAAGCGACTCACTGCCTCTAGATTGGTGTACATTCCGATGGATACAAATACCCGTTCGTTTTAACTCCTTCTACTCAGAGTCCCTGGAATATTGTGGGAGCAAGCCACGTCTTGGATAGAAACACCAATGCCGCCTCTTGGGGTATAATGGAGGGCCTGTAAGTTTTTTACTGACTGACTCAATGACAACTACTTATAGATATTGCACACGTTGGTGTGGTTGAGATGCATATCCAGGAACCACATGAGTTGAGGACAATTGTAGATTGCGAAGGTGGCACAGCGACGACTTCTCTACGTCAATACTACCGTCAGCATCCAAATGCAAGCTCCATCATGCTCAATCACCAACTTGCACATTCATACCTTGTTGGGGCTGAGATCTCCGTACTATAGCTCCAGCTCTAAGGCAAGCCCCTGACGTATCCAGGCGAATTATGGGCTTATATGTCGTAATATTCATTGGTTTATAAAATCCTATGTATGCTTCTGCGTGAGCGGTTAGAAATAGCTCTCCTCTTCACCCAAAATAGACGGCATCTTTACTTGCTGCTTCTTCGACCAAGTCTACAAACGCGAATTTCCTCTGTATAAATAGTCTGGATCTTTCCCTTCAGAATATCTCCTCTCAACCCGTCCAAAAAGCATTACTTACAGCAAACAGCATTTCAAAGCTCGCATATCTTCTCCCAAAATACTAGGTTGTTTTTATTCACACACTCTCCTCGTTTACCTCCTGTTCTCATCTTTAGAGATTTTTCTATCCTACCAAGTGCGCGCAATCTTGAGTATATGCAGACGAGACAGAAGCTTGATCTGTCAGGTCCGCGCCATCCTGATTCATTGATGTGGATAGCTTGTGGGTTTGGGTTGGCAGTCTGCTCTAGGCATCTCCCCTGATACGGAGGCCCATGCGTGTTCCCTTCAATCACACCCTGGGGGGATGCGCGTTTCTGGTCTGGAACATTTGGCCCGAAAACCAGATGTTTCCGATCTCCCAGGCGGCTATAGCCTATTGGTTACCGACACTGAGCCCAGCTTTGAACCAGTCAATCTGCGCTAAGGCTGCCGAGATCAAATGATAAAGACGGTCAAAGATGTCGCAATAGCCATTCACCTGTTCTTTTAAGGGCTTAACTCCCCCAGGAAGATGCTTGTTTTGGAGTTCGAACTTCTGGACCGAGACCGAACGATCATTCCAGAGCCGGTGACAGCTCAGGGATGGAGCGTTCCGGACCCGCAGATCGCGGACAGCAGATGCGTCCTTCTTGGCGAGCACCTGTCTATCCTTGCCTTTACGACAAGCAGGTCATGGGCCAGCGACCAGGGTCCTCCGGCAGCAACGGTGAATGAGTTGGTGGCTCAGACACAGTATGTGGTAACGACATGCTGGATACACGGGAGAAGACTCTCCGCCCAGCCTTTTGTTGTACGACAGACTGTGCGTGCTAGTGCAATTGGCCATGAAGCGTCGGGAGGGGAGAACCCTGGCAGTGGAAATCTTGGATATGCTGCGTAGCCCCTAGATTGCGCGGTCTGCAAGCTAGGTCTGTTAGCAAAAACGCAATTCTTCAATGTACCAATCTTGAGTATGAGTGATGTCCTCCCGCTTTTCCCTCTTTGGCGAGGATGGCCGCCATAATGCGACAATCTATGCCGTCGAAAAATTGCCGAGTCCGTTAGCTGCCACTAGAGGGAGAGGCCTCAAGGCAGCTAGAATGCAGGTGGGTTTAGTTGGGGCCACAGTGGTCCCCCCACTAATGTACCTGCTAGGCCCTCCCAGACCTCCTGCCCCGTTCCCCTGAAGAGACAGGAAAGCTTGTGTGTTGTAGGCACGGCCGCGTGGCTTGAAGCTTCAACTCCAGGCTTGTCCATGCCGCAAAAAGCAGCGGATTTCAGGGGGCGATCACTCAATTGCACCGGTATGATATCGAAACAGACGATCAATCAATGTTTGGTCATCTCCTTTGCTGGGTATGTACAAATACATACGAGCCCGTTTGACACCCACTTAAGGGGGAACCATTGGATGACTTGCACTACCTATTTTTTTTTTTTTTTTTTTTTTTTTTTTCGTGACCAGCGAGCCTACAAGAACAAGTTTTTGAGGAGCTTCTTGGCTGCTTCATGTTGGCGGCAGGCAGTAAGAACAATAGTTTCTCCACCTGCCATGATTATGTACAAAACGTGGTTCACCGGCTGCCTGCCAAGAGACAAAGAAGGGGCAAGCCGTTAATAACGCCTTGTCTCGCTCTTCCCTCCATTCTACGTTTCTGGGAGACGCAAAGAAGAACTAGACCAGGCAGAACGCTGCATCATTAGCAGTATGCAGATTCACATGGTCGAGATGCCGTGCTTGGCCAGTCCCGTACATAGTAGTCCAGAACTCGCTGTGCAAGTTGCAACGGCCTCCACTGTGAATGTCAACGGAGCCTAGGGCTGACCCCTGCTCCAATGATCCCTGCGCCCTGGCCCTTCCCTGCGACGGCGAGCGAGACTCATCAATACATATCAATACAAAGCACACGTCTCGAAGGCGGCGGCTAGTAGCAATAAAGGCACCGCTAGGGGTTGTCAGCTCCTCCACCGGTACGCACTGTCCCGAGCCATCGATCGCCTGCTTTGCCTATCCCGTCATTCCACACTGCCGCACCCATGTCGCACTGCCCCAAGCCTGGCTCGTTGCCTGCATGTACGAGCCAGTAGTGAGCAGTACGTATCTATCCAATATCGATTTTACGAACGCCGCCCACGTTCCTTATCTTGCCTCTACTCCCTCCCCATCAGCCACTCCTCCTCTCTCGTCCCGTCTCTGGCTGCTTATCCCCATCCTCACTCTCTCCCTCCTTCTTTTCCGAGGTCGCCAGCTCTCTAATTGAGTTCCAGCAAAGGGATCCGGTCCCTATTTTCCTCTGTTCATCTCCTAGCTTCCATCTACACTCATTCGCCACTCTTCTTTCTTTGACCCCCACCAGATCGACATCCGAGATCGAGACAGCATTCCCTCGCAGCTCGACAACGGCACACGGGCCTCCTTATCAGCTTTCTTGCTTCGTTTCGGACGATTACTCTGCGCTTCCCTACCGGCACCTTCCCAACACAGCAGCTGCACCCTCCTCCGCTATGCTCGACCTATAACAATGGAGAAATCACGATTCGAATTCAAGAGGATGAGCAGCCGTTCGAGCTCCAACTCTTCCTCTCTCGGAAGCGATGCCTTCCTACCGATACACACCGGCTTCGAGAAACCCGTCTTCCGATTGCGCACTGTAGTCACACACGGCGTCTACCGCCGAGTCTTGATATGGGCCGTTACCAGCGTGCTGCTGGTTACTGTGTTCCTCTACAGCACCAGGGATGGAAGCTTACACCGGATATCAAATGACGCCGGCACCCCATCGGCGCTCTCCCACGGCTCTGCTGATGTTCCTTCCACCGCCAACTCACCGGCCCCTCCAAAGGTGCACAAGCCTCCACACAACAACGGTATCAAGGAAGAGCACGATGCTGAGACCATCTACCATGTCAATCCTAACCCCGAAGATCCCGACCAAGATGGGAGTGAGAAGCCGGAGACTCCGGAGAGCCTGAAGAGATGGGAGGAAGATCTCGGACGAATGCCATGGCTCAATTTCAAACTGTGAGCCAATTGAAAACTTCCCCTTCTTGCAAGTCTATACTAATGCAACTGGAATAGCTTCGATGGTTATTTCAATGGGCTGAAGTCGCTTGTATCCTCTGCGAACCATGTGCCAGAGAATGCGCGGGTGCCACCTCCGCTCTCCAAGCGATCGTCCGTCGATGAAGATAAAGAGACACCGTCTCAGAAGCCTTACTACCCGTACAACTCGTCACACCCTGACTTCCGACTTTGCTATCTTGACAGCCAAAATACGATTCCGGCCCCCGATATTTTCGCATACAGTGGTGTCCCTCAGAATTTCCCCAACCCTTCCATGGGTTCTTATCAGGCTCTCGGAATCCCAGATGATGTTTGCTTCGACCGTTTCGGCCGGTACGGTCCTTATGGCTTCGGATACTCCAAGCGAGAGGGAGGTTCTGGCGTCGGTCAATTCACCGAAAGCTCGGGCAACGAGCGAGTTTGGGCTACTTCTGGAAAGATTGACTACAACACCGTTGACTGGGCTGATGCGCAGGATCGTTGCTATGAAGCCAACAAGGCCCGATTCCAGCAGGTAGACCCTGAAACCAACAAGCTCGTACCCGTCGAGGGAAAGAAGGCGCGCATCGCCGTTGTTATCCGGGTGTACACGGGTTTCGAATGGACAGATCTCGCCATTCTCAACTTCCGAGCTCTCATCAACGAACTGTCGCTGAAATCGGGAGGCGAGTATCAGGTCCATTTCCTTCTACATGTCAAGGACGGGGATACACCCCTTTGGTCAGATGCGGCGACAGCCCGAAGGGTCGTGGAAACTAATATGCCAGCCGAATTCCGCGGAATGGTCACCCTATGGAGCGAACCTCAAATGGCACTCTACTACCCTGGCAAGTTCCGCGACTCGTATTCTAATCCTAGTCAGAGAGAGCTTGGAGGAGTCTACCGCAGTGGGCACTGGCCACTCCAGATCTTCGCTAGGCAGAACCCCCAGTATGAGCACTTTTGGAACTGGGAAATGGATATGAGATGGGTTGGCAACTATTACGAGCTATTCAATCGTATGACCAAATGGGCAGAGCAGCAGCCGCGCCACCTGGCATGGGAACGCAGCTCCCGATACTTCATTCCCTCCTACCATGGGAGCTGGGAGAACTTTACCGCGACCGTAGAGCGTGACGCGGGAGAGTCGGGAATCGAACCAGTGCTTGGACCCGTCCAGTTCCAAGGTCGAAAGTCACTTCGGTTTGAAATGAGAGGGGAGTCACCAATGCCTGCGTCCTGCGACCCCGATAGGGACCAGAGCTTGTGCGGTGTTGGTGAAGAGGCTGATCTGATTACTGTGAACCCCATCTTCGATACTCACATGTCCGGTTGGGCATTTGGCCTGGATGCCGTCGGTTATCCTAAGAAGGCTCCTCCTCCCCGCAGGGCTGCTATTATTACTGCCTCTCGCCTGAGCCGACGACTACTGGATTCGATGCATGAACAAGTATGGAGGCACCATCAGACCATGTTTTCCGAAATGTTCCCGGCCAGCATCGCCTTCCATCATGGCTTCAAGGCAGTTGCTGCCCCTCACCCGATCTACTTGGACAGGCAATGGGGAGATGCCATCAACGAAGTCTTCAACGGTGGCTCTCACCACTCCACGGACGGTCACGGATGCCCCTTTGACATCTCCAACGAACATAATCACCGTGGATCTACCTGGTACTTCAACAGCAAGTTCTCCGGGATGCTGTGGCGAAGATGGCTGGGATACCCTCAGAAAGACATGAGGGGCAGATACCAGTCAACCCAGGGGGAGGACGGAGTCATGCAGGGTGGAAAGAACCAGGAAGAATCCAGCTCGGGCACCGGACGCATGTGCTTGAGATCCATGCTGCTGCACCCAATCAAGCTGGAGCACCCTTCCGAGTTCAAATAAGTTGCCAAACAGTGAGATGCTCGGACATGGATCCGAAAATCTCAGGCCTGATTGCCAACGCAATCACCTACCATTCATTCAAGGTGACACTTCTGTCACTGTACTACGACATTTCTTACTTTCACTGCGGGGGCCCAAAATTGTGGCGGCGTTTTTTCTTTCTTTTCTTTTTTTACATGTCTTGAGCGGGCGCGAGTGTCCTTGTTCATAGGGGCAATCGTCTTGGGAGGCTTTGGTGAAACGGCGCATTTTGGATATGGGAACAAACAAATAGATTCGGTCGGTCACACATATATACTTTCCTTTTTACGAACATACAGACACAGCTACAGTCGTTTCAGAGGGTTGGGAACCCGGACCAGGGCTTATCATAATAGAATTTCCCGCAATCATAACCGTTGATCAAATATTTGCTAGCTATGCTCTCATCACTGACTGACACGTGAAGATAGCACTGCTGCTATTGTCGCTGCTGTCAAACCGCGTACTAATTGTCAAGGAAGTCATGTGTCGATCATCGATGAACACCGGACCAAGTAATGAGCAAGTAGCACGCGCAACGGACCTCCCGGTCGGCTCAAGCAAGGAGAAGCTGTAGTGTATTGAAAAGAAATAAAAACGTAAACCACCTCCCTTCCTTCATTCACTCATGATACGATACGCTGACCCCCGCCACAAGGCATCCTCATCCTCACTAGACAGGCTAAATGTCAAGTGACAAGGAAAAAAAAAAGGGGGGGGTTAGATATATATATTATATATCCATTCTGCCAGTTCTAACCAAAAGACGCCTCCCAAGGTCCCTCCACCATTCATTCATTCTCGCCCTAGCAGATCCTTCCCTCCATGCCCAATACTGTAACGCGAAAATCCCAAAAAGTTTGGGGGTGGGGAAAAAAAGCTCAAGGTATCAACGGTACCACAGGAACGGCAAGAGTTGAGAATTATACCTCGCCACCCTCAATGGGAACTGGAAACCTTTGGTCCCAGAGGTAGAACAGAACGCGGGAAGAAAAAAACCAAGACCGTAAAGAATCAATGCAACATCCAAGGGGGGTTTGCTAACTGATAGAACGGCTGCAAATAGCACTCACTCACTCACTACCATGTCCCTAGGCAAGGATACCCGGGCCGATGGGTGGGAGAAACGAAGTCGCGTATGATCCGGATGATCCAAAAAAATAATATGTGAAAAGACATCCAACATTTTTGATGCAGTTCGCTCTCTTCCAGAAGAGCAAGAATAATTAAATAATTTGTTCCCTAGCCACAAAGCAGAAAACCCGCGGCATGGTATCGAGGCTCACACGACGCCTTCAACGCCCTGAACGCCACTGCAAAGGAAAGTTCTAAGGAGAACGAACAGTCCTGTGAAAAAAAAGGAAGCTTGTGCGCGCTGCTCTGCATTTAGTAGAGCGGTGCGCGCTTGTCATTCGGAAAATTCATCGTCTCGTAGGAGAGCTCATCTCTCGGCAAAAACAAGATGGATTTTACTTCCTCAAAACTGCATCGTACATGCTGATAAGGCCTGTGATGGCAGTACCAGTCAAAACTCCCTTGTAGCCGCCGTATACGGCGCCTGAGAGGCGCTCGATAGATACGTCAGAGAGCAGGCCGCCAAAGGTGACGCCCTGCGCGTAAACAACGTAGGAGAAAAGAGCCTTGGCAATGCTGAAGCTCACAGGGTCAACAAGGTACTCGGGAACATGGGCGCGAGATCGGGTGCGGGGACCAGAAGAGGTGGAAGCAGCGTTCAGATTGAAAAAGTAGCCGAAGAAGGTTGGCAGGATGAAGCTGGTGAGAGCCCAAGCGAAAGCAGGAGACCAGAAGCTACCCGTCAACAACAGGAACATATCGGGCAGGTAGACGGGGTAGTCGGAGGTCTGGAGGAAACTGATGGCGGGAATAGTAAAGGCGTACTTGTCGGCAAGAATTTCCCGGCGGATAAAGTAAAGCTCAAAGAGGCTGACTAGGAAGACAATCGAGTGGACAGTGCTCAGGGAGCTGCGGGTAGCCTCAGTAACTTCGTTGATACCGGTCTCCTGGTAGATGGACGACACGCGAGTTCGCACAGCAGTGGTAGAGCGGTCAACAGAACGCGCAATGTCTGCAGGCGTGGCAGGAAGAGCAAGCTGAGCCATGACTTGTTGGGAGAGGCTTCGGGCAGGCGTCTGAACAAGAGCCGTAGTAGGTGAAACAGCCGTAGATGACGCGCGGGGGGTCTCGGCTCTGTGGCGCGTTTCTCGTTAGCAGACCGTTCTCGGAGAGTGGGATCGATGGGATACTGCGGCGCACGCGTCTCTGACACCGCAAAACGCGCCTGGGAAGGGAAACTTACTCTTGAGAGATCTCCTCGACGAGCCTGGAAACCCGTCGCTTGGCGACCTTGAGCTCCCTCTCGGGCTCACTCTTGACAGCCTGCTTCACTTCCTTGACTTCCTTGGGCTCCGCCTCCCTCTTGACTGGGGACTTGGCCTCCCGCTTCAGCGGTGAGCCCCTGGAGCGGCTGTTGTAGTGGCTGTTGTAGTAGCCCTGGAGCTCAGTCTTTCCCGACAGGCGGCTGGCATTCTCGGTGAGGTATTCGTCGAGGGAGGCCTCGAGCTCTGGCTTCTTCAAGTCCTTGATGCTACGCGACGCGTGCTGTTAGTGTGTGTACGGTATGGCAGGTAGCTCGTTGAGCAATGACGCGCGGGGGTTTGCGCCCTCGCGAAAAAGGAAAACGACCCGATGCAACGCGCGCAAGCTCACGGGAACATCAGGAGGCGATATGCGACAGAGGCAGAAGGGTCTGCTCGCAATTGCGAAGGGCGCGCAAGCCGGCGCAGGCGCGAACACGAGCCATGCAGGCGCGCGATCTGGTGGGTAATTGGGATTCGAGTACGTACTTCTTGAGGCCGAGCTCCTTGGCGAGCTCAAGAAGATCCTTCTTGAGCTGGGTGCGTAGCCAGTTGTTGGTAGCAGGCGAGGACATGGTTGCGTCTGTGGTGAGGCTGGCTGTGAGGGTGATGACGATGTTGTCCTAAAAAAGTCGAGTCCCGTCGCGGTGTAATTCGGACGCGGGGTTCAGGTAGACAGTAGGCAAGGTAGGTAATCACTGTAGGTGTAGGCAGGGAGGAGGTGTGTAAGGTAAGGTGATAAGTGCGTGCTAGTCAACACTGTGCGTGTGTGTGTGTGCTGTGCGAGTGTGAGGTGAGATGGCGGAATGCGTTCTACAATCCGGATGGGGGGTTTATTTGGGGGATTGGAACCTTCTATTAGGATCAGTGTTTTGGCGTCGGAGACTGTTGATGGATTGATGGCGAGAGGCTCTGAGGGACTGGAGGGAGGGGTGGAGGAGGGGGCGGTGGCCTGTGTGTTTGGGGTGCTGAACAGGCTGTTGTTATGGGCGGCTTGGTTCCATTGTTTACATTTGGCCCCCCGGCCGCCTGCTCTCATTCGCCCGAGATGCCACCTTTACCCATCCGGGCAGCTCTGCTCTGTCAAGCTCCAGCAGCGTAGCGTAGCGCGAGCCTACTTGTTAGGGCCGTCCCAGGTGGGCAATCCAATTAAACCCAGCAGCTCCCTCATAGGCTCCGACCTGCCCTATGCTATCGATGGTCCTTCCGAGTCCCGCCCCTCATCCCCGCTGCGGGTTGGGATGCGCCGCCCTGGTCATGGTTGTTGCGCGAAGAACGCGTCTCTACCTACCAGCCCGTCTCGACGCACCATCGCGAAGGGGAGCGAAGCATTGGCTATTGATGTGCTTGCTTGACGCTATGTTTAGTAAGTAGGTAGGATCAGTGTGTACCGTGACCTTTCCTTCCCTCTCCCCAAAGGGATAAGGTGCCCATTCCTGTCCTATCCAGGCAACTACACCAGGTCCAGGCGGAAAGTGCGACACCGAGGTATGTGCACACATTGCATATTCTTCGTAATAGCCAGGCAACCCAATTTCAATCAATTCACTTTCACTACCCATCTCCCGCCTCTAAGCTTTCATTCGCAAACGAGAAGCCGCTGCAAACTACTCTACGTGTCATCAACCCAAAGTGCAAACTTCCGCAATTCATCCCGGCCGTCCGCACGCGTGCTATCAAACTAAGTGTGTATATGCCCACCGCTTCCTTCGTTAGAAACTCAGATTCCGGGCACGTGGAAGACGATGACTCGTTTGCCCTCCCGTGGTCTTACCTCTCGATTGATTTCCTTTGACAAAGTTTGGATTTTGGGGTCACTCAAGCGGGCGATTCCAGACTTCCCAGTCGTAACCATACAACTTCTCCCACTCTGTGTGATGGATGCTCGTAGAGTTTCAAGATATAAATATGCCCCGTTTGATCCATCTGCCCAGTTCGTAGTAATATCAGCCCAAAACCCTCATCCAAGTTACTATTCTAGCCTTCAGGTTGCCATCATCTCTTGTTCTCCTCAAAAATCATCGCTGGTGGTTTCCCACCATACATTTCCCTTGACAAATCATCAAGGATATACATTCCTCAGAGGCGTCTCTTAGAGAGCAACCACACTGCACCACTCTGGGTAAAAGAGCTGTCCAAATGGCTCCAACGCCGGCACGCCCCGAAGCCAGGTCCCCTCCTTTGCCACCTCCTCTACCACCTCCAGCGAAGCCTGGCATACCCCGTCGAAACCTCCAAGTCAGGCCAAACCAGCGTGGGTTGCTCGATTACTCGACCTAAACTGAATTGGACCTACAACAGATGAGTAGCTGTCCTCGTCCACGCACAGGATGGAAGTGCTGCTGGTGGGGCGAGATAGTCTGGGACAAGAACCGAAGCTATCTGTCATCTATCATGTTCTCTACCCAGAAGACAGAAGTATCTCCGTTGGTTTGAAAATGAGTTGAGTTGTTTTCATCTTATTCGCACGAACTATGCTATATTGGTATCCTCACAAGATTGATGCTGCAAGACTGTTTATTTTGATAAACCGTCTACCTCATGCCGTCCGCCCTTTTTGTCGCTTGGTTTACCTCGCCGGGGTGGACTGCTTTGAACAAGAAAACAGCAGATAAAGTCAAAAAAAACTTCCGTCGCGCCATGTGTTGAATGATGTCCCCCACTCCGTCCCAGATTTACCCCTGCTGTGTGATATGCGTGCGCTCAATTCTTCCTCATGTGCTCTTCCCACGTTGAGTTGAAAGCTTACAAGTTACATGTTCCCAAGTCTGCCATGCCCAAAATGCAGTTTTGGCCGCCATTGCAGCCGAGAAAGTGTACAGTTTTGCTTAGAAGAGACCGTCGATCTCGCCAGTCTCGGGATCAATGTCAACATTGAGATACCCGGGTGCCGTAGGCAATCCAGGGATGGTCTGGATGTCGGCAGCCAAGGCGTACCTAGAAGCTGATTAGTAAAAATCACACAAGGGAACGAGAAGAGGGCGTTCATACAAATATCCAGCACCGGCAGCCATGCGAACATCCCGGACAGGGATGGTGAAGCCGGTGGGTGCACCCTTTAGATCAGGATCGTGAGACAACGAGTACTGTGTCTTGGCAACGCAAATAGGCAGGTTTCCGTAGCCTTGTCGTGTGTATGTGTCGACCTTCTTTTGGGCGAGCTCGCTGAACTCAACAGCCTCGGCACCGTACATCTTCTTTCCAATGGCCTCAATGCGTTCGTGGATGGAACCGTCGAGGCTGTATGTGAGAGTAAGCTCCTTGGGCTTTTCGCTGGCAGCGATAACACCCTTGGCAAGGTTGACTGCACCCTTGCCACCTTCTGCCCAGTGGCTGGAGAGGATAGCATCCTCGGCACCTGCAGCGATGGCCTCTTCGCGGATCACAGCAATTTCGGCCTCGGTATCAGTTGAGAACTGGTTGATAGCAACAACAACGGGGATACCGAAAGACTTGGCGTTCTCAATGTGCTTCTTCAGGTTGACGCAGCCAGCTCGGAGGATTTCGACGTTCTCCTCCTTGTAAACGCCGCTCAAAGCAGCTCCTGGAGCAATGGGGGGACCGCCGCCGTGGACCTTGAGGGCTCGTACGGTTGCGACAACCACGACGACATCTGGCACCAAGCCTGAAGTGCGGCACTTGATGTTGAAGAAACGCTCACCTCCCATTGTAAAGTCGAAACCGGCCTCGGTCACGACGAAACCAGCTTGCTCACTGTGGTCCTCATCAGGTTCAGTACCAGCCAGCTTCAGAGCGAGCTTGTCGGCAAGGATAGAGCTCTGGCCAATACTGATATTGGCAAAAGGTCCAGCATGGACAAAGACTGGGGTTCCTTCCAGAGTCTGCATAAGGTTGGGCTTGATGGCGTCCTTCATCAAAGCAGCCAAGGCACCGCCGGCTCCGATATCGTCGGCGGTGACAGGGTCGCCACCCCGAGATGATGCAACGACCATGGCGCCGAGCCTCTCCCGCATGTCCGCCAAGCTGGTGCTCAGAGCAAGAATGGCCATACATTCACTGGCAACTGAGATGTCGAAACCAGTCTCGCGGGTCTGGCCTCTCTCAGTAGGGGCGGTGCCTACGGTCACACCTCGGAGATGACGATCATTGACATCCAAAACGCGGCGCCAAGTGATTGTCTCAGGGTCAATATCTAGACGAGCAAAACGGTGGATCTCATCCTCGGTGAGATCATCCGGGCTAGTCTTATCGATGCCAAGCTTCTTGAGGCGTCGGAACATGACTGGAGCAAACTTCTTCTCGCCTCCCTTGCCTGTAACCAGGCGACGGAAGAGAGGTCCATCCTTCTGTGTGTTTTCGTGGAAGATTCGAGTTTCAATGGCTGCTGCCAGAAGGTTGTTGGCGGCGGTGATGGCATGAATGTCGCCAGTGAGATGCAGGTTGAACTCGTCCATAGGGATGACCTGACTGTAACCACCTCCAGCGGCACCACCCTTGATACCGAAAGTTGGTCCCTGACTGGGCTGGCGGACATTGGCAAAGGTCAGACGATCAAGGTGGGCACCCAGGGCCTGTGCTAGACCCATAGTAGTAGTTGACTTTCCTTCACCAAGAGGTGTGGGAGTGATACCCGTCACAACGACATAGCGACCATTGCGACGATGGTCAAGTCGATTGAGTAGGCTGAGATCAACCTTGGCCTTGTAGGCGCCATAAGGCTCCAATTCATGGGCGGCAATGCCCACCTCCTTCGCAATCTGGGTAATCTGCTTGGGGGTTTGAGCCCTGGAGATGGCAATGTCGGAAGGCACGGTCTCCTGGAGATTCAAGGGCAGAGGGATAGTCTTCCTAGACTTTTGTGACTCGAAAAATCTATCTGCGGCGTCGACAACGTTCTGCATCAGCATGGCCACAGTCATGGGCCCAACACCACCTGGAACAGGGGTGATGGCCGAGGCGACCTCAAAGGCGGAGTCGTAGTCAACATCGCCAACAAGTCGTTGGCCAGACTTCTTAGTGCTATCAGGGATGAAGTTGGTACCGACGTCAATCACGACAGCGCCTGGCTTGAGCCATTCGCCCTTGACAAAGTGAGCCTTTCCAATGGCAGCGACGAGGACATCAGCCGTCTTGATAATCTCAGGAAGGTTCTCGGTCTTCGAGTGGCAGACGGTGACGGTGGCGTTGGCATTCTTAAGCAGGTAGCTCACGGGGCTGCCAACAATGTCACTGCGTCCCAGAACGACAGCGTTCTTTCCAGCGAGGGCAACTCCAGCGTCCTTGAGCAGACACATGACACCCTGTGGTGTGCAGGGGATGAAGAATGGCTTGCCACCCTTCTTGGCGAGCTCACCAATGTTCTTGGAGCCGAAGCCATCGACATCCTTCTCGTCTGCGACAGCTGAGGTAATATTATATTCAGAAAGGTGAGCGGGGAGAGGAAGCTGGACCAGAATACCATGGACCAGAGGATCACTGTTGAGACTACGAATACGATCCAAGATTCCAGCTTCAGAGATGGACTCGGGAAGGTGGATCAATTCACACTCAATGGACGCCTGTCGTGAGAGTCAGTGAGGGGTTGAGGTAACGCCCGAACAGGGGCAATGCGTAC